GGGCACGGCAAGCAGGCTCAGCTGGTTGAGGGTTGGCTCGTCTGAGTAATTCCAGCAGGCCCAAGGTGGAGGGATCCTTCTGAGTTATCTGGTACCTGGCCCTGGGCTGATTAGAGGAGGGGAATATTGGCCTGGAAGTGTAGGAAAGGCTGTGGTTGAGGGGTCTGGGCTTTGGATTAATGGGTTTGTATATGAAAGGCAGGCTTGCAGAAGAGTAGTTTGTTATCTCTAGGAATATGCTAGCCCAGGGAGATGCAGCTTCTCCCAGGTCACAAAGGCCCCAGGATGTCAAAGCATCATAAAATACAAAGAATTAAAAACATGATTAATACACTTCATTGCCAATTGAACACTTTTGCCTTATAAGGTGGTTTTCCTCATCTTACTTAATGCTTTTTGGCGTGAATTCTACCTTGTTTGATACAACATCATAACCTCAGTTCTGTTGTTATTGTTGTTTTGTCTTTGTCTTGTATACCTGATAAACTACTGTCTATCTGTTTTAGTTGTGACCTTTCTAAATCACTTTGCTCTAGGTGTGTCTCTTATATACAGCAAATGATTCATCTTTCTTTTTAGAGATAATGTAAAAATCCTTTTCTTTAAATACTTGTGTTAAGCCTACTTAAATTTATTGCTATGACAGATATGGTTGGTTTTAGTTCTGTCATAGTTTCTGTTTTTCTGTATAAATATTTTAAATGTCTTTCACTATGCTATCTTAGCTTTTTATTTTAGAATATTTTTTCTGATATTTAAAAAATTATGTTAATGGTTACTTTTTTAACCACTGGTATATAACAACTATAGCTACTTATAATTATGTTTATAACTAGTGGTTACATAAGTTTGCCTTTATGTAATATCCTATATCCCTTTTTCTTTAGACAATATCAGTTTATTCCCTGTATGCCTCAATAAAACAAGCTTCTATCTTCTTCCTTCATTCTCCCCTCTCTCTTCTACCATCTAATTTAACCAATAGTATATCTTTTGTCTGTTCTTATTGTTTCCCCTTCTACTATTAAATATATATTTAATATATATATTAAATATATATTTGACCTGTCAACTGTAGTTTTGTTTTGTGTTTTTGTTATTGTTGTTATTTTTGAGACAGTCTTGCTCTGTCGCCCAGGCTGGAGTGCAGTGGTGCAATCTCAGCTCACTGCAACCTCCACCTCCCAGGTTCAAACAAGTCTTGTGCATCAGCCTTCTGAGCAGCTGGGACTACAGGCGTGTCCCACCATGTCCAGATAATTTTTGTATTTTTAGTAGAGACAGGGTTTCGCCATGTTGGCCAGGCTAGTCTCAAACTCCTGGCTTCAAGTGATCTGCCCACTTTGGCCTCCCAAAGGTGTGAAATACTGCACCTGGCCTGACCTGTCAACTGTAAACATTATCTTTGCAGTCTCTTGTGTAACAGCTGAGGCATTGCAAATTTATTCTGCTTTCTAAATTCTACCATTTTTCTTGATTGTGTCATTTTCATTTTGACACAATATTGATATTCTTCTTTATCACTTGTATCTCTACCTTTGCTTTTCCTTAGATGTGCAGTTAAGAAAACTTACTGCTGCCTGACTGCTCCTTTGCCAAACTCTTATTCATCTCTTGATTGGCTGGAGTTCATCCTCTAGTAGTTTTCTCAAAAAGTGTCCATTTGAGAAATGTTTTCTGAACTATTCATGTTTTAAATGGTTTGTCTACAGCCTTTATACAGAAAAGAGTAGACTGGATGTACCTAAAACCTTCTTAGCTCATATTGCTTTCTTTCCTTCAGTATCTTGTAGATATGGCCCTACTGTCTTTTGGCATTGAATGTTGCTGCCAAGAAGTATGTTGCCAACCTGATCTTTCTTTTTTGCTTACATATTTAAAAAATTATCTTTATCTTTAAAAGAGGATAATTTTTAAAGGATATATGTTGGTATTGACTAAGAACAGTTTCCTTATACAGTGTGCCCTTTAAATATGTAAAAACAAATATTTCAAAAAGTTTGTTTTTTTAATTAAAATCTTTAAATTCTTTTTTTTCCTTTTCCATTATTTTAGATTTCTTATTTGGGGCTCCAATTATGAGTATGTTGGATTTTTTTTTACCTACTTTATATCTAACATTTTTCTTTAACCCTGTGTTTCTTTATTTCTGTTTTGTCTCCTTATTTTTCATATTTATCATTCATTCTTGCTATGCAATCTGTAGTCTGTTTTCTCTTTTCTCCCTTATAGTTTAACTTCATTCCTAAAACAATTTGACTCCTTTTCCCCCTGAGTTTAGTCAGTTTCTGTTTCACCTCCTCTTGTGAGTTCATGTATATCTGATTTATAGTTTTTCTTCAGAGCTGTGATAGTTTTGTACTAAATTAAAGCAGCTCATCCCTCTCTGAGTGCCAAAATACATGTTAAATTTAACTTGAAATCCACTGCCTCTTAAGACAATGAAAAAAAAATCAAATGATTTAGAAGTTTAAGGCATAAACATTTTCAGCAGTAAACTGTACTAGAGGTTGTAGTTCTTACCATGAAACCTGTGCCTGCTAGTAATCCAATAACTTGCTGTTTGGTGATAATCAGAAATTGAGGCATCCTGAAAGAAAAACTTCACAGGCAACTTCCTCAGTCTTTGGATTCTTTTGGTTAAGGTCTTCTTCCATACAGCTATACTGTCTTACTGCTTAAAGGAACTATCCCAGGAAGAAGGAACAGAGTAAGCAAATACAGAAAGATAGGACAACAGGAACATATGGAACATATTTTGAAGATCTGCAGGAGAAAATGAATATTTTGAGCTGTGTGTATTGCTATCCAAAATAAATTAGAATTCTGAGCATATAGAATTAGATGAGGAGAATAGAAACTGGATAGTCAGCTAATATCTGCCATAGTCAAGATATTTGGCTTTAAAACTTAGGATATAAGTTGTAACTAGAATTAAGCTTATTCTCATAGAGATGGACTTAATCTTCAAAGGAGGGTATAAATTAAGAATAAAGAAGAGCAAGAAGAAAAATTAGGGGAATCCATGTGTTTTATGGGCAGGAAGAGGCAAAGGAACCAGTGAAGGGATCGTAGAGCATCCCAGGGTGCAAGAGAAGAGGAAGTATGAAAATATCCATGTTAGAATTAGGCCTCTAGTGCCCTCCCATGGATTTTATGGTCGCGGTGTGTTTGGAGCATGGCATTAGTAACAGTCGAATGAGAACCTCACAGAGTATAGGTGAATCTGTGGAGAAGAGAGTAGAACCCAGCAGTTGAATGCATTGGCAAGGTGGGGATGGAGAGTGGGGATCCAGGTGAAAAGGGTAAACTCTGGTTATGAAGGGTCATGGTAGGTGGGCAACGTAGAGAAGGAGGTGTGTCAGCAACCAGGAGCTGTTATGTCCAAAGCTGGGTCAGGTTCAAGGGAACGATAACACCAAAAGCTAAGGTTTGAATCAAGGCAGATCTGTATTTGAATCTCAGCTCTATCACTTACTCACTGGCTTTTAACTCCAGGTGCTAGAAGTTAAACATAAAACAAAAACCTATAATTAATGAGAATAATGGTAATTACCATCTATTAAGCACTTTCCATAAAGGAAGAACTTTACAAACACTATCTCCTTTTCTCATTTAACCCTCCTAAGAGTTCTCATTAGATGGATTGTGTTATCCTAATTGTACAGGAAGGAAGGCAAGGCCTTAGGTGATGAAATGATATATTCACCATCAGAGAATTAGTTAGAAGGTGGAACCAGGGCTCAAAACCAGGCTCTAGAACCTATGTTCTTGACTGTTCTTCTGGGTTGCATTCCTTCCCAAAAGTGAGTATCCCGGCATCAGGGACATGTATCCTGTGGCTGCCCCAGTCTTCTAGCCTCAGGTTTCACCATGGGCCTCTGTGCCTTTCCTTCTCATCCTTACTTGATGTGACATCTGTTGGGGTTCCCAGTAACTTAAAATGGAAAAGATGAGAGGGGAGCTTATTTTTATTTGCTCCTTAAAATTAAGGCTAACTTTTTAATTCTTTGATTTCTTTTTAAAATTTTTTTAATTTTTAATTTTTATGGATACATAATCGTTATGCATATTGACGGGGCAGATGTGATATTTTGATATAAGCATACAGTGTGTAGTGATCAAATCTGGCTAATTGGGATATCCATCAACTCAAACATGCATCATTTCTTTGTGTTGGGAACATTCCAAATCTACGCTTCTGGTTATGTTGAAATATACAATATTGTTAACTATAGTCGCCCAGTTGTGCTGTAGGATGATGCCTCACTGAATCAGATGCAGTGTGTGACACTCCTTCCTGCTGTTACAAGTCCACCGACTCTCAGAGTCGGGAATCGGAGTGCCCACGCTGCCTCCAACTCCCCAGTGTAGCTGCGCCTAGTGCTACGAAGTGCCAGTCCAGCACCCCGTGTCGGGGTGGGAGCCCTGCTGAGTGTGTACCCACGCAGGGCACCCCTGCCCAGCCTGGCATCGCACCCGGTGCAGAGCCTGAGCTTGGAAGCCTATCTCCTACCAACACTCACTAACAAGACAATCCCCCCCGAGCTTCTGCTTCTCTCATAGTAAGCTTAAAAAGTAAAACTCTGAGCAAAAGCCCAAAGAAACTTTGAGAATTATTTCAATTCATTTTTCTTTACTTGACGCTTTGTTCCCCTCAGAGAGTAAGCTCTACAACTTGATTTTCAAAGGCGGATGTGATAATCAGGGGTGCAATGTTTAGATGTGTGTGTGTGTGTGTGTGTGTGTGTGTGTGTTTGAACCTAAAGGCTCTGAAACTGTGTATAGTCACATATTTTAGATGGACGTCACTTATGGGTATGAAATTCTACTTTGAGTCATGCAGAGGGCCATTTTCCCCTTTGAAAAATGAGAACTACTGGTAGAAAATTCATTAGTTTATGTCCTCATGGGAAACCCTTCTTGTTACGGTTCTTCTCTATGATGAGACCATTATTCATGCGTTCATATTGTCACCTCTTGTCACTTCTTGTCCACAGGCAAAAACTGGGACCTGACAGCCGCTCTGAGCGACTATGAGCAGCTCCGCCAGGTGCACACAGCCAATCTGCCGCATGTGTTCAACGAAGGGAGGGGTCCCAAGCAGCCAGAGCGAGAGCCACAGCCCGGGCACAAGGTGGAGCGGCCCTGCCTGCAGAGGCAGGACGACATTGCCCAAGGTACCGCTGAGGGACTGAGCCTGGGCACAGCTGCCCAGGCCAGTGCATCACAGCTCGCAGGTGGGTTGGGTGGTACAAAGAATGGTGGGGTTATCACCTCCCAGGTGCAGACAAATTGGACTCTCGATGCCTTCTTCCTCACACTATGCCGAAATGTCCTTTGTTGCTTCTATCCATGGCTCCAGCCTCTACCTCAGAAAAGCAGAAAAATGAGTCTGATTTCCTAGAACCCCAAAAGCCCAATAAGTGAGTAAAAGCCAGCATTCCTCCTGGAGTCCTGGTTTTTTCAGACCAAACATCTCTAGTTCTTTTACTTATTTCCAAAGTAACAGTCTCCAAGTCTGTTCAGCGCCACATTTCTTGCCCCATGCACTCCATCTTCTCTATCCTTTTTGTTCGTTATGAAAGTAAGACATGCTTATTATAACAAAGGAAACAATACTGAGATATATGAGGAACACTTAAGAACGTTCTCCTGCACACCTCCCAGATCTCATCAGTGTAATGACGACTGATAACATCCTGGTGGTCTCCTCCTGCTCCTCTTGCTATCTTGTTCAAAATCAAACACATCAGAGTCTAATGCACAGCACACTGCAAAGTGCTTGTTTCACTGAGCAGGAGAATTATGAACATATCTCTGTTAAGAGATTATGAACATAATCTCTTAATAGCTACATTTTACTCTATAATGTGTTAATTTTTATCGCTGCTGTATTCATGGTGATTCTGTTTTTGCTTGGGTTTTTGTCGTTGTTATTGTTTGTTAATTGCCACTGCAAGCAATGCTGAAAGAAACATCTTTATACCTGTAATCTTACATACTGGTGCTTTTGTTTCTATAGGTTTGCATTCCCAGAATGGATTTGCTGTGCCAACACATGTGTGTTTCTAGCTGAATAATTTTAGGACTTCTTTCCTAACATATTTCTACTCACCATGTGTGAAACCGGGTGTTTCCCTTCATTCTTGCCAGCACTGGATATTACAATGTATGGTGTGTTAGGCCATTCTTGCACTGCTATAAAGAAATACCTAAGGTTGGGTAATTTATTTTAAAAAGAAGATTTATTGGCTTATGGTTCTTCAGGCTTTACAGGAAGTGTGGTACTGGCATCTCCTCAGCTTCTGGGGAGGCCTCAGGAAGCTTACAGTCATGCAGAAGGCAAAGGGAACAGGCACTTCACATGGCCAGAGTAGGAGCAAGAGAGAATGAGTTGGAAGGCAGAGGTGCTGCATACTTTTAAATGATCAGATCTCATATGAACTCAGAGTGAGAGTTCACTTATCACCAAGAGGATGGCCCAAGCAATTCATGAAGGATCTCCCCCAACCCATGATCCAAACACCTCACACTAGGCCTCACCTCCGGATTACATTTCAGTATGAGATTTGGGTGGTGACAAATATCCAGACTATATCATTTCACTCCTGGGCCCTCCCAAATCTCTTGTCCTTCTCATTGCAAAATACAATCATGCCTTCCCAACAGTCCCCCAAAGTCTTGACTTGTTCCAGCATTAACTCAAAAGTCCAAACTCTCGTCTGAGTCAAGGCAAGTCCCTTCCACCTGTGAGCCTGTAAAATCAAAAACAAGTTATTCGCACCCAAGAAACAAGGGGGTATAGACATTGGGTAAACATTCCCATTCCAAAAGGGAGACATTGGCCAAAAGAAAGGGGCTCCAGACCCCACCCAGGTTCAAAACCCAGCAGGACAATCATTGAACCTTAAAGCTCCAAAATAATCTCCTTTGACTCCGGATCTCACATCCAGGGCACACCAGTGCAAGAGGTGGACTCCCAAGACCTTGGGCAGCTCTGCCCCTGTGGCTTTCCAGAGTTCAGCCCCCACTGCTGCTCTCTGCTTGCAGCTTTTCCAGGTGCAGGGTGCAAGCCACCAGTAGATCTACGATTCTGGAGTCTGGAAGGTGGTGGCCCCCTTCTCACGGCTCTACTAGGCAGTGCCCCCATGAGGACTCTGTGTAGGGTCTTCCGCCTCACATTTCCCCTTGGCACTGCCCTAGTGAGGTTGTCTGTGAGGGCTATGCCCCTGCTGCAGACTTCTACCTGGACACCCAGGCTTTTCCATACATCCTCTGAAATCTAGGCAGAGGTTGCCAAACCTCATTCACTCTTGCATTCTACATGTCTACAGGTTTTTAACACTATGTGAAAGTCACCAAGGCTTATGGCTTGCACCCTCTGAAGCAGCAGCCCGAACTGTATCTGGGACCTTTTGAGCCAAGGCTGGAGCTGGAGCAGCCAGGATGTAGGGAGCAGTGTCCCAAAGCTGCACAAGGTAGCAGGGCCCTGGGCCTGGCCCCTGAAACCATTCTTTCCAACTAGGCCTCTAGGCCTTTGATGGGAGGGGCTGCTGTGAAGGTCTCTGAAATGCTTTAGGGCCTTTTCTCCATTGTCTTGGGTATTAGCACTCATTTAGCTCCCTTTTTATTATGCAAATATCTCTAGCAAGTAGTTGCTCCTCAGCCTGCTCGAATTCTTCTGAAAAAGCTTTTTCTTTCTTTGCCACATGGCTAGGCTGCAAATTTTTCAAACATTTACATTCTGCTTCCCTTTTACATTCTGCTTCCCTTAAATATAAGTTCCAACTCGTTTCTCTGCTCCAGCATCTGAATGCAGACTGTTAGAAGCAGCCATGCCACTTCTTGAATACTTTGTTGCTTATCAATTTCTTCTACCACATACCCTAAATCATCAAGTTCAAATTTCCACAGATCCCTAAGGTATGAACAGAATGTAGCTGAGCTCTTTGCTTGTAGCAGGACGAGCAGGACGAGCCACAGACAAAACTCCTCAGACACCAAGTTAAAGAAGGAAGGGGTTTATTTGGCCGGGGGCTTCAGCAAGACTCCCGTCTCAAGAGCCAAGCTCCCTGAGTGAGCAATTTCTATCCCTTTTAAGGGCTCACAGTTCTAACGGGGTGTGCATGAGAGGGTTGTGATCAACTGAGCAAGCACAGGATACGTGACTGGGGGCTGCATGCACTGGTAGTTAGATTGGAACACAACAGGACGGGGATTTTCACAGTGCTTTTCTATACAATGTCTGTAATCTATAGATAACATAACTGATTAGGTCAGGGGTCAATCTCTAACTACCAGGCCCAGGGTGTGGTGCTGGGCTGTCTGCTTGTGGATTTCATTTCTGCCTTTTATTTTTACTTTTTCTTTCTTTGGAGGCAGAAATTGGGCATAAGACAACATGAGGGGTGGTCTCCTCCCTTATGCTAAGGCAAAACATGTGACATTTGCTCCAGTCCCCAATAATTTATTCATATCCATCTGAGACCTCCTCAGCCTTGACTCTGTTGTCCATTTTCATTATCCATATTTTGGTCATAACCGTTTAACCAATCCCTAAGAAGTTCCAAACTTTTCCTCACTTGCTGTCTTCTTCTGAACCCTCCAGACTTCCAACCTCTGCCCATTACCCACTTTCTAAGTTGCTTTCACATTTTCAGGTACCCCTTGGTACTGATTTTCTATGTTAGTCCATTCTTACATTGCTATAAAGAAATATCTGCGGCTGGGTAATTTATAAAGAAAAGAGGTTTACTTGGCTCATGGTTCTGCAGGCTTAAAGAAAGCATGGTGCTGGCATCTGCTCAGCTTCTGGGGAGACCTCAGGAAGCTTAAAATCATGGCAGAGGCCAAAGAGGGAACAGGCACTTTACATGGCCAGAGCTGGAGCAAGAGAGAGAGAGTGGTGGGTGGGAGGTGCCACACACCTTTAAATAACCAGATTGCGTGTGAACTGAGCAAGAGCTCACTTATCACCAAGGGGATGGTCCAAGCCATTCATGAGGGGTCTGCTTCTAATCCAAACACCTCCTACCAGGCCACCCCGCCAAGACTAGGGATCACATTTCAACGTGAGATTTGGAGACAAATATCCAAACTACATCAAATGTGTTTATGTTATTTTTCTACTCTGAAAAGTGGAAAATGGTGTCTTGTTTACACTCTCATCTTGCCATTTGCTTGTTAGGCCATTGGATTTCCCCTTTGTAACTTGGCTGTTCAGGTACTTTGTCCATTTTCTATTGATTAGTTTGCCTTTTCTTATCAATTTGTTGCTCTCTTTGTAATAAAGACTAAAACATATATTTCATATGTGTGTGTGTGTATGTGTGTGTGTTTCCCACTGTATCTCTTGCCTTAGGACTTTCTTTTCAGAATGTTTTCCCATACATAATGTTTACATTATCTTGCTCTCATGGCTGATGAGCTTTCCCTCTCACTTTGGAAGGTTTCTTGGACTACAGAGTTACTGAAATATATTCTTTTTTTTCTTCTTGTTCTTCTTTTTTTGAGATGGAGTCTTGCTCTGTCCAGGCTGGAGTGCAGTGGCACAATCTCGGCTCACTGCAAGCTCTGCCTCACAGGTTCACACCATTCTCCTGCCTCAGCCTCCCAAGTAGCTGGGACTACAGGTGCCTGCCACCACGCCCAGCTAATTTTTTTGTATTTTTAGTAGAGATGGGGTTTCACTGTGTTAGCCAGGATGGTCTCAATCTCCTGACCTTGTGATCCGCCTGCCTCAGCCTCCCAAAGTGCTGGGATTACAGTCATGAGCCACCACACCCAGCCTGAAATATATTCTTATATTTAATTTAAATTTTGTTCTTTGAGTCTTTTCATCAATTTGAAATTTTTATAATAGCAAATAATCTGGTTTTGCTTTCTTCTGGATTGAGAGTGAGTTATTCAAGTACATTTCCCCACTGAACTGAACTAAAATGCCAGCCTTGCCTTATATTAAATTCTCAACATACCTGGACCTATTTCCATACTTTGTTCTGCCCACCCCATGGCTGCCACCCTGTTACACTTGACTCAGTGGTTTCACAGGGTATCACTCTCTGCTAAGCAAACCCTTCTATTGCTATGCTTTTCCTTTTTTTTATTTTTTTGCTGTTTTTGAATATTTATTTTGCCATCTAAACCTTAAAATTATAATTCTGAGTGGAATTGGAAT